TGTGGAACGCAAATTCAGGTACTGTCGTTTTCCTCTTGTGTCGCTTCTCTTGTAGGTCCATGTCTTGCTGCTCAGCGTGAATTTCGGCGCATAGTGCTGCTTCAGATATCTTCCCGTGAGCTCGGAGTATGGCGCGAGTGGAGCGCCAATGAGGACCAAGACCGCAAATGACGAGTGTGACGAAGGCGTCTTCTGATATCGACCCTCCGCATCAAAGGAGTTTGTCGCGCAATTCGCGACAGCGACTGATATATGCCATCCCTTTTTCGCCCGGTTTCATTTCTACTGTTGTCAGTTGTGCCATTAACCGACTCTGATTGACGCTGTCTGTTGCCTGATACATGTTCTTCAGGTGGTTGTACGCGAGCTCGGCGGAGTTCCCGTATCCTCGGTAAGACCGAATGTTCTGTTGCTGGTTCGGTGTGACGTTGCGCAGTAGGATTGTATATGCCATCATGGACTGATATGTATACTGCTGCTTGTCGTATTGCGTCCCGTGCGTTGGATAAGGCAGGGACCCGTCGAAGAAGCCAAGAAACTGCGCGCCTTCCATCATCAGCTCGAATTCGAATGACCCGGTAAAGAAGTCCTTTCCGTCGAACGGTCTTGACGTCTGCAGTTTTAAGACGTGCGCAAACTGCGACTGGACTTGAAGTGCATCCAATGTTTTTTTCTTGCGCTGGTGAAGGCTGTGTCAAATATAGGAGGAGTACGGCCTAGGCTTAGTAGCCTAGGCCACAGTAGGACTAGAACGAGGAGGCGCCAAGTACAAGCTAGGAACGTGTGCACGAACAGAATTGAGAAGGGATGATTGAACTAGCAAGCAGCAGGATACAAATAGCAAACCCTAAGGGGCTGTACTCACTATTGAGTGCCCCACTGCAGGCTACACAAACAACATATTCTGACACACCCCCATAGCCAAAGTGGGGTGTAATCAGCACAATGAGCAGGCAGTGCAATAGTTCACAATTATCAGCAAAGCTAGAGGCTATCACAGAGGGCAAGTGAGGAGGAGGAGGGACTGTGAGGGGAGAGAAGATGGGAGGCGACGACTGAAGCTGCAGACACACGGGCAACAGAAGCGGCTGACACAGTGGCGGCTGACACAGTGGCTACCGAGGCAAGGGCCCCGGACTACTGGAGTAACTGGCTCTGCGGCTACGACGAGCGGCAGAAGCAACGGACCCACGGGCGACTGGTGCAGCAGGCTCTCTGAGCTACCGGCGACAAGGGCCCCGGAATACAGGAGTAACAGGCTCTGCGGCTGCGACGAGCGGCAGGAGCAACGGACCCACGGGCAACAGGTGCAGCAGGCTCTCTGAGCTACCGGCGACAAGGGCCCCGGAATACAGGCGCTGCGGACGACACGACGGCTGCCTCCACTCAACCTCCCCCAACTGTCCCACACCCCCCTACACACACCCCCAGTTTCACCCCTAGCTCCACTCCCACATCACCCCCCTAGCTCCACTCCCCACAGCTCCCACACCTCCACCCCCCTCAGCGGCAGCTGCAGCAGTGGGAGACGAAAAAGGAGGAGGGGAGAACCCACACCTCTCACCCCCATGCTTGCCACCCCACACCCCCACCACCGCGGAACGCACGGCGGAATGGGAGCAATGGGCAGCACGGGGGGGGGGGGGGGGGGACGGGACGGGCTTCCGCAGGGGCGGCTCGCGCGGGTCCTGGGGCGGCTGCTGCAGGCACGGGCTGCTCCAGGGGCGGCTGCTGCAGGCACGGGCTGCTCCAGGGGCGGCTGCTGCAGGTGCGGGCTGCTCCAGGGGCGGCTGCTACAGGTGCGGGCTGCTCCAGGGGCGGCTGCTGCAGTGGCGGGCGGCTCCAGGGGCGGCCGCTGCAGGTGAAAGGTAGGAGGAGGGGGGGGGGGGGGGGGGGGGGGGAAACGCACGGCCCCCAGGGCGCCCCGAGGGGCGACGAGAAGGGAGCCGCGCGGCCCCCCCCTGGGGCGCCGCGACAGGCACCAGGGAGGGCGCCGCGACGGGCCCCCAGAGCCGCCTCGACGGGCGACGGGGAGGGCGCCGCGCGGGCCCCCCGAAGTCGCCTCGACGGGCGACGGGGAGGGCGCCGCGCGGGCCCCCCGAAGTCGCCTCAACGGGCGATGGGGAGGGCCGCGCACGGCCCCCGAAGTCGCCTCGACGGGCGACGGGAGGGGACCGCGCACGGCCCCCGTGGTCGCCACGACGGGCGACTGGTGGGGAGGCCGCGCGGGCCCCCAAGGTCGCCTCGACGGGCGACGGGAGGGGAGGCCGCGCGGGTCCCCGAGGTCGCCTCGACGGGCGACGGGAGGGGAGGCCGCGCGGTTCCCCGAGAGCGCCTCGACGGGCGCTTCGACGGGAGGGGACCGCGGAGGCCCCCCCAAGGGCACCACGACGGGTGCCACGGAAGGGAAAACCGCCAGGCGCCCCGAGCGCGCGGCGGGCAGAAATTAGGGTTTCGCCGCCGCGCACCACGGGGCGCGCGGCGGACACTGCGGCAGCGGAAGCGGGTGGTGGGCCCATACACAGGAAGGCGGCAGACATGCCGCCCTCTGATACCATGTCAAATATAGGAGGAGTACGGCCTAGGCTTAGTAGCCTAGGCCACAGTAGGACTAGAACGAGGAGGCGCCAAGTACAAGCTAGGAACGTGTGCACGAACAGAATTGAGAAGGGATGATTGAACTAGCAAGCAGCAGGATACAAATAACAAACCCTAAGGGGCTGTACTCACTATTGAGTGCCCCACTGCAGGCTACACAAACAACATATTCTGACAGGCTGCTGGCGCGGCATGAAGCTGACGGAACCGCGCTGAGGTTCGTACGGGGCGAAGGTAGGTGGTTGTTGCTGATTTCCTCGCGCGTAGGATGAATCGTCGAGGCTCATCGGTGTCACGTTGTTGTTGTTGCTGTTGTTTGACTGCGCAGGTGCCCCTTGCTGGTGTTGTTCGTAGAAGGACATGAAGGAGAAGAATTTCTCCATCATGTCTGGGTCGAAGCCCGCGGCTTGATTTGCGGGAGTTTCGGTAGACCCAGCTGCCGGTCTTGTTGCTGTGCCCTCCTCTGTCTGTAGGCCAGAGGCAGGAGGTGGAGTAGGAGTAGTACCGGGAGAGCCGTTAGAGGAGCTTCTCTCCTTCTGCGTTGCCATGCCTTGTGATGTTGTAGAAGTCTTGATTGTAGTTGAATTTGTCCTGATAGCTCTCATACCATGTTGGGCTGAGAAAAGCCCTTAGGATCTTTGCAGGACTAAACTATAAGTAGGACAATGTAATAGCGGAAGCGTTTAATGACAAGTTTGTGAACCACCTTGCGCTGGTATGTGAGGGCAAAGTCGATTGATTAAAACAAAGAGATACAGTCTTTTATAAGAGTACAAGGGAACAGGGCCCAAAATTCAAGGGTGTTTTACCCTTTCTACCCTTGCTGTGGGCCGCTTTTCCAGGATTGCCCTGATTCAGTAAGTGTATTTACCAATTGACCCTGACTGTAAAAATGCACTTTCTGAAATACACTTTCAAAATCAGGCCTCCTCGAGAATTCCCCTGTTTCGTCTAGGTACTTTAAGAAATGCACTGAAACAAACTTTCTTCGTGTCGTTTCTGTACAACAGGGCCCATCTGGCCACTAGCCCGAGATAGTTACAAAACCGGCCCCACCAGTCACTGTCGCGCTATCAGCTCGACAAAACAGACCACACCACGGAAGTTATGACGACCACACCACACTCTGTGCGACGACCAGTGGCAGCGCTCCTACCCCAACATCATGCTCCTGTGGCAAGCAGTCGATGTGCCTTTGAGCACGGTGGAGTGCGAGAGGGGGTTTAGCAAGCAGAACATTATCAAGACGTGGGGCCGGGGAAGCATCTCAGACACCTCATGCGCTGCTCTCTCCTAGAGTACACCGTGGACTGGTTCGAGGTCGCACGCATCTTCCGTGGCGACAGAAACAGGCGGCCAATCCGAGACTTCACTAGCAGCAACCCAAGCGATACTCAGTTTAACCCTGCAGCAGTCCCTGACACAACTGCAAGTGCAGACCACCAGGAGGGACCCGAGAATGACTGATGCAATGTTTTGTTCGTGGTGGGTTATGCATGGTTGCATGTAGGGGAAGCAGTAGTGGCGTATAGATTTTCTCTGGCAAACAGGGTGTTGCTATAAATAGCCTTACAAAGACAGGATACTAGCAAAAACACACTGATTAGCACCGGGCAAAGAAATTTCCACCCTGACTGTCAGGCAAAGGGCTCTAGGGGACCCTGATATGGCAGGGTGCCCCAAAACCAATTTTGGGCCCTGCAAGGGAATATGAAGGGTTATAGCTAATAACTGTTTTGCTGTTGCTGTTGCGGTTCGATACAGTGACGACTCGGGCAACTGCTCAATAACGAGTCTATTGTTTGTCCTTGCTGTCGCGCTGTACTTGTCAGGTCAAAGGTCGCTGACCTTTGACTTTCGCGTAACCTCCAGCAGTTGTTCAACCTCCGAGGGTTGACTCGCCGATGCTTCGCTGTGTTTCGCTTCGTTTATGACTTAGTGCTTCGACACGACAGAGGCGCTTAAGTTACTTGTTTCCAACAGTACATTGCTGCGTTGCTGCCTACCAGTGACCCCATCTGCAAGTGTTGGAGGCACTTAGGAAGGCGAATAATGAGGCGGATTAAAACGGCGTCACAGAAGTGTGTTGTTGCTTGCCAGTGCACTGTGCTCCCATGCGATGTTTGACACACGGCTTACTGGATAAAGGCGAAGCAGTACATGCGGGTATGGCACGGCTTTCTCATGTATACTAGGTTGAAAATAGCCTGCATGCCTGTTGAAGCAACAGGGCTACTAAATGCATACCAGTTGCTGGATTAGGGGATGACTACCATACTTGACTTGTCGAGAAGCAGAATTGAGCTACCGTATCTGGTGCTGCTGACCTCCACCGAAAACAATAATCCACAAGAGCAACTATCGTCCTTCGAATGGGAGTTGGACTACGCAAGCACTCAGAATCAGGCAGCTGGTGCAGCAGGCGCTCCCGTCCCCGTTCCTGCCCCTTTACCACCACCCGCCCCGCCGGCTCTCCTCTTGCGCCGCCCCCACGGCCACCACCTTAGCCGTGGCTCCGGCGGAAAGAGGCTCCTACGATGATGATTTCCCGACCGCTCCCACGCGCAGTAGATGGCGGCAGCTGCGAACACAGCAGCAGCGGAGAGCGCGGCGAGGAGGCCGAAGTGGCGCACGTCGTGGGCGGCGATGGCGAGGGCCAGCATGACGAGCTCCGCCAGGCTCGCCAGCGCCACCTCCGTGGTGCCCACTATGTTGGCCTGCGCGGGCGGGATGGCCACCTGGAAGATCTGCGCGTCCACCACGTCATATGTCCAGTGGCCCAGCCGTGATACCACCTGCAGGGAGAGGGTGGGTGGAGGTTGGGTGGAGAGGGGGGGTGTTTGAGGTGCCTGTAATGGAGGGGTGCAGGCACCCGCAAAAAGAGTGGCACCTGCAAAAAGAGTGGCACCTGCAAAAAGAGTGGCACCTGCAAAAAGAGTGGCACCTGCAAAAAGAGTGGCACCTGCAAAAAGAGTGGCACCTGCAAAAAGAGTGGCACCTGCAAAAAGAGTGGCACCTGCAAAAAGAGTGGCACCTGCAAAAAGAGTGGCACCTGCAAAAAGAGTGGCACCTGCAAAAAGAGTGGCACCTGCAAAAAGAGTGGCACCTGCAAAAAGAGTGGCACCTGCAAAAAGAGTGGCACCTGCAAAAAGAGTGGCACCTGCAAAAAGAGTGGCACCTGCAAAAAGAGTGGCACCTGCAAAAAGAGTGGCACCTGCAAAAAGAGTGGCACCTGCAAAAAGAGTGGCACCTGCACAGAGTGGGGCGCGGATTGGTGTGCATGTGGGGGGTTGAGAGATGGGAGGGAGTTTGAGGTGCGTGAAATGCTGTGGGGTGTCAGGGGTAACTCGTGAAAGCGGTAGCTTGTGATAGGGTAACCTGCTGGGATTCATTAACAAAGAGGCAACACTAGTGGCATGAGTGATTGCTGAGGGGGATAACTCACGATGAGCGCGAGGAAGGCGAGGAGCAGCGAGTGGTGGTGGCCCATGGAGTGAGAGAGGGCGAAGACCCCCAGGGACGCCGCCAGCACCAGCGACTGGAACAGCAGCGCTGCCCCGCCCGCCTGGTGGAAGAGAAACGGGGGGAAGAGGTGGCGTGAGGTGGGGTGATGTGGGGGATAAAGGGATGAGGGTGCAGTGCTGAGAGAGGCAGGGCAGGGCTGGTGGCGAGGCGAGGAGACGGCACATGGCGAGGAGACGGCACATGGCGAGGAGACGGCACATGGCGAGGAGACGGCACATGGCGAGGAGACGGCACATGGCGAGGAGACGGCACATGGCGAGGAGACGGCACATGGCGAGGAGACGGCACATGGCGAGATGGCGCAGGCGCTTGGAGACGCGTGGGGATGTGAGCGGGACATAGCATGGTGTCATAACACGCCTCACCTGCAGCAGGCCAAGGCGGGTGATGAGGAGCGGCGAGAGAAAGGTGGCAGCGAAGCCCATGGCGGCACACGCGCCTCTGAAGGCGCCAATCACCGACACGTCCACTCCTGGGAGAGGACCGTTCGAGAGAGAGAGGGATGGAGAGGGATGGGCAGTACACCTTAACCCGTGTGGTGGTAAGGCAGCACGTCATGGCGCCCCTCCTCCCACACAAAGTCACTTGCATTGACCCACGCACCTTGCTGCGTGAGGAAGCTGGTGATGAGCCCGCCGGGCGAGAGCACGCAGTTGAAGAAGAGCAGCACGTACGCCACACTCACCGCCAGCACCGGCTGCCCCAGGAAACTCCTCCAACCGCGCACCACCGACCGCACCGACATCCCCACAACCGACCCGGCTGCCCGGCAGCTCCCAGTGAGTGCCGCCGCTACCGCCCGGGCTGCTGATGTGAGGAGCAGCGCGGGTGACGGGACGCCGGCAGCAGGGGAGGGTGAGCGGGTGGATGCGTCCCTGCCTGGTGCAGAACCAGCAGCCCCTGCAGCAGTCGCTCCTTCACTGCTACCTCTCCCCACCCCCCTGCTGTCCGTGCGGCTGCTGCTGCTGGTGGGCTGTGTGGAGGGCGGCTCTAGGGAGAGCAGTGGCGCAGCAGGCGGCTTGGGGCGGCTCAGCACACCGTTGGACTGGCGGTCCGTGCGCAGCACGAGGCAGATCTGAATGGGGGGGGCGAGAAGGGACGGAAGAGAAGGGACGGAAGAGAAGAGGGGGGGACGAGGATCAAGACGATGATCTGGTGAGGGGGAGGGGGAAGGGAGGGGAGAGTGAGCATGAGAGCGGAGATGGTTGTTAAGAGGGCAGAGCCGTGAGGGAAGGGAGAAGCACACGCAGCACGAGCAGCACGAGCAGCAGGAGCAGCAGGAGCAGCAGGGGGTGGGAGAGCAGCTCACGAGGATGGGGAGGGAGAGCAGCTCACGAGGATGGGGAGGGAGAGCAGCTCACGAGGATGGGCAGGGAGAGCAGCTCACGAGGATGGGGAGGGAGAGCAGCTCACGAGGATGGGGAGGGAGAGCAGCTCACGAGGATGGGGAGGGAGAGCAGCTCACGAGGATGGGGAGGGAGAGCAGCTCACGAGGATGGGGAGGGAGAGCAGCTCACGAGGATGGGGAGGGAGAGCAGCTCACGAGGATGGGGAGGGAGAGCAGCTCACGAGGATGGGGAGGGAGAGCAGCTCACGAGGATGGGCAGGGAGAGCAGCTCACGAGGATGGGGAGGGAGAGCAGCTCGCGAGGATGGGGAGGGAGAGCAGCTCACGAGGATGGGGAGGGAGAGCAGCTCGCGAGGATGGGGAGGGAGAGCAGCTCACGAGGATGGGGAGGGAGAGCAGCTCACGAGGATGGGGAGGGAGAGCAGCTCACGAGGATGGGGAGGGAGAGCAGCTCACGAGGATGGGGAGGGAGAGCAGCTCACGAGGATGGGGAGGGAGAGCAGCTCACGAGGATGGGCAGGGAGAGCAGCTCACGAGGATGGGGAGGGAGAGCAGCTCACGAGGATGGGGAGGGAGAGCAGCTCACGAGGATGGGGAGGGAGAGCAGCTCACGAGGATGGGGAGGGAGAGCAGCTCACGAGGATGGGCAGGGAGAGCAGCTCACGAGGATGGGGAGGGAGAGCAGCTCACGAGGATGGGCAGGGAGAGCAGCTCACGAGGATGGGGAGGGAGAGCAGCTCACGAGGATGGGGAGGGAGAGCAGCTCACGAGGATGGGCAGGGAGAGCAGCTCACGAGGATGGGGAGGGAGAGCAGCTCACGAGGATGGGGAGGGAGAGCAGCTCACGAGGATGGGGAGGGAGAGCAGCTCACGAGGATGGGGAGGGAGAGCAGCTCACGAGGATGGGCAGGGAGAGCAGCTCACGAGGATGGGGAGGGAGAGCAGCTCACGAGGATGGGGAGGGAGAGCAGCTCACGAGGATGGGGAGGGAGAGCAGCTCACGAGGATGGGGAGGGAGAGCAGCTCACGAGGATGGGGAGGGAGAGCAGCTCACGAGGATGGGCAGGGAGAGCAGCTCACGAGGATGGGGAGGGAGAGCAGCTCGCGAGGATGGGGAGGGAGAGCAGCTCACGAGGATGGGGAGGGAGAGCAGCTCGCGAGGATGGGGAGGGAGAGCAGCTCACGAGGATGGGGAGGGAGAGCAGCTCACGAGGATGGGGAGGGAGAGCAGCTCACGAGGATGGGGAGGGAGAGCAGCTCACGAGGATGGGGAGGGAGAGCAGCTCACGAGGATGGGGAGGGAGAGCAGCTCACGAGGATGGGGAGGGAGAGCAGCTCACGAGGATGGGGAGGGAGAGCAGCTCACGAGGATGGGGAGGGAGAGCAGCTCACGAGGATGGGGAGGGAGAGCAGCTCACGAGGATGGGGAGGGAGAGCAGCTCACGAGGATGGGCAGGGAGAGCAGCTCACGAGGATGGGGAGGGAGAGCAGCTCACGAGGATGGGCAGGGAGAGCAGCTCACGAGGATGGGGAGGGAGAGCAGCTCACGAGGATGGGCAGGGAGAGCAGCTCACGAGGATGGGGAGGGAGAGCAGCTCACGAGGATGGGGAGGGAGAGCAGCTCACGAGGATGGGGAGGGAGAGCAGCTCACGAGGATGGGGAGGGAGAGCAGCTCACGAGGATGGGCAGGGAGAGCAGCTCACGAGGATGGGGAGGGAGAGCAGCTCACGAGGATGGGGAGGGAGAGCAGCTCACGAGGATGGGCAGGGAGAGCAGCTCACGAGGATGGGGAGGGAGAGCAGCTCACGAGGATGGGCAGGGAGAGCAGCTCACGAGGATGGGGAGGGAGAGCAGCTCACGAGGATGGGGAGGGAGAGCAGCTCACGAGGATGGGGAGGGAGAGCAGCTCACGAGGATGGGGAGGGAGAGCAGCTCACGAGGATGGGGAGGGAGAGCAGCTCACGAGGATGGGGAGGGAGAGCAGCTCACGAGGATGGGCAGGGAGAGCAGCTCACGAGGATGGGGAGGGAGAGCAGCTCACGAGGATGGGGAGGGAGAGCAGCTCACGAGGATGGGGAGGGAGAGCAGCTCACGAGGATGGGGAGGGAGAGCAGCTCACGAGGATGGGGAGGGAGAGCAGCTCACGAGGATGGGGAGGGAGAGCAGCTCACGAGGATGGGGAGGGAGAGCAGCTCACGAGGATGGGGAGGGAGAGCAGCTCACGAGGATGGGGAGGGAGAGCAGCTCACGAGGATGGGGAGGGAGAGCAGCTCGCGAGGATGGGGAGGGAGAGCAGCTCACGAGGATGGGGAGGGAGAGCAGCTCACGAGGATGGGGAGGGAGAGCAGCTCACGAGGATGGGGAGGGAGAGCAGCTCACGAGGATGGGCAGGGAGAGCAGCTCACGAGGATGGGCAGGGAGAGCAGCTCACGAGGATGGGGAGGGAGAGCAGCTCACGAGGATGGGGAGGGAGAGCAGCTCACGAGGATGGGGAGGGAGAGCAGCTCACGAGGATGGGGAGGGAGAGCAGCTCACGAGGATGGGGAGGGAGAGCAGCTCACGAGGATGGGGAGGGAGAGCAGCTCACGAGGATGGGCAGGGAGAGCAGCTCACGAGGATGGGCAGGGAGAGCAGCTCACGAGGATGGGGAGGGAGAGCAGCTCACGAGGATGGGGAGGGAGAGCAGCTCACGAGGATGGGGAGGGAGAGCAGCTCACGAGGATGGGGAGGGAGAGCAGCTCACGAGGATGGGCAGGGAGAGCAGCTCACGAGGATGGGGAGGGAGAGCAGCTCACGAGGATGGGGAGGGAGAGCAGCTCACGAGGATGGGGAGGGAGAGCAGCTCACGAGGATGGGGAGGGAGAGCAGCTCACGAGGATGGGCAGGGAGAGCAGCTCACGAGGATGGGGAGGGAGAGCAGCTCACGAGGATGGGCAGGGAGAGCAGCTCACGAGGATGGGGAGGGAGAGCAGCATGGTGGCGAGGGAGGCCTTGATGCACACCGCCGGGCTGAACGCTGACAGCAGCCACCCAAACACCAGCGGCCCTGCCACCTGGCGCCACGCCATTGGATGGAGGTGGGAGGGGTGAAAGGAGGGAAAATGTTGAGACCAGGAGTTTGGGCTCGCACAAGGGTAATTGGCGTACAACGGGGGAAGCATGAGGCAGCAGAGAAGGAGAAGCGAGGGAGGGCCAAAGCACATTGGCTGATAGGCCCATATGCTGATAGACAGATAGAGCCAACGACAGACTGATAGGCTGATAGAGGCTGTTAAGCCGATCGGCCCACAGCGTGTGATAGGCTAGAAGGCTCATTGCCTGGCAGCACGCACGTCACAGAAGAGGTCGGCCCGGCGCAGCATGGCGTTGGCGTTGGCCAGCGCTGCCGCGTTGTCCTGCCCCGCCAGCTGCCATGCGCGTGGACGGGGGTGAGAAGAGAACAGGGGTGGGAGGGGGGGAAAAGGGGGGTGAGAAGGCCAGCGGGGTGACGGGGAGTTGAGATGAAGGGAGAGGGAGATGAGCGAACAAGTGAAGAGAGTGGAAAAGGATCACAGACGCAGCACGTACACCCACCCTCTCTCCACTCCCCCCATCCTCCTCCATCCCCCTTCCTAAGCTCCACGTCTTACGAGAATAACACAGCCACGATCCACCCACAGCAGAGGCGATGCCAGTGATGCGCTGCGCTCCACAGCGCCCGCCAGCACCGCATCCACCCCTTCCTCATCAGCCCCCCTCCCCCGTCTGTCCCCCCCCCACCACTTACGAGAATGACCCAGTCACGTTCGAAGGCCACGCCTGACGCAATGCCAGTGATGCGCTCCACCGCCCCCGCCACCACCAGCACCACGAACCACCCTTTCCTCATCAGCGCTGCCCCCGTCTGCCCTGCTGCTGCTGGCGCCGCGTGCACCGCTGTTAGTGTTGCCAGCGCTGCTGCTACCATAGCTGCTGTCTGGGGGATGGGGAGGGGGAGGGTGATGAAATATGGATTGAGGTTGAAGAGAAGGAGGAGGGGAGTGCGACAAGCGAGAAGGAAGTGGTAAAGGAGTGCTGCTCTCACAGTATGCCTGCCTCTCTCAGTATGAAAGCAAACACGAGCTCTTAAGGAACCTAAAAGAATTCTGACCTGGATGCAGGAGATGGTGTTGAAGGCCCACCTGGATGCAGGAGATGGTGTTGAAGGCCCACCTGGATGCAGGAGATGGTGTTGAAGGCCCACCTGGATGCAGGAGATGGTGTTGAAGGCCCACCTGGATGCAGGAGATGGTGTTGAAGGCCCACCTGGATGCAGGAGATGGTGTTGAAGGCCCACCTGGATGCAGGAGATGGTGTTGAAGGCCCACCTGGATGCAGGAGATGGTGTTGAAGGCCCACCTGGATGCAGGAGATGGTGTTGAAGGCCGCCACCCGCGGGGCAGAGTCCATCATGTCTCCCACCAGCGGCGCCCCCACGAACACCACCAGCTGCCATGGGGACATAAGGGGGGTGGGGGTAGAAATTACCATGGGGGGAGGATGGAGCAGGAGGAAATGAGAGTATGGGGGAATGGATGGTGTTGAAAGCAGCGACCCGTGGAGCAGAGTGTGTCGCCTCTTCCACCAGTGGCGCGGCCACGCACACCACCACGCTCCAGCTGCCATGGGACGTGGGGGGAGAGGGTACGAGCCCGACAGACAGAGGATGGCGGGAGGAAAATACATGGAGATTGGGGGGTTCAGAGAATGTGGGGAACTGGGATGGAAGGGCGTGAGGTAGGAAGGACATGAGGGGATGGGGGAATGGATGGTGAGGATGGGGAATGGATGGTGAGGATGGGGAATGGATGGCGTCGGGACAAGGAATGCGAGTGGGACGGTGGGCTGAGAAGACCAGAAAAGAACGGACAGGCCATGGGTTGAGCCACAGCCGTGTGGACAGCGCCGCACCTGGCTGGCGAAGCTGGCGACAGCAACGGGCAGCAGCGAGTCGTGCAGCAGCGCCAGCAGAGCCGCGCCCGCGAAGCGCCAGGCGTGCTCCACGAAGCAGTTGAACACAAACGCCAGGTACAGCGCTGGGGGGGGGTGGGTTGGTGTGGAGGACGCAAGGGGGCGCAGTGGCAGGGGGGCGCAGGGGAGTGGGGATGGCGCGAAAAGGGAGTGCGTTTGGAGTCGAGTGAGAAGCCCAACACGTGGCTCGGATGCAGCGCTACACGCACTCGCCAGGATAAACCACGGGGGTCACAAGGAGGGTCACTTGGGGGCCCGCAGGGGGTCGCAAGGGGGCGCAAGAGCGGTCACGGGGGGGGCGCAGGGGGAGCAGGAAGGAGTGAGAACACGTGGTGAGTCGAGGGTGGGGAGGGGCGGTTGAGGTGCGGTTGAGAGGAGAGAGCGTGGGGGCGTATGGCACGTACAGTTAAGAGCGGCGGGGAAAGCGGCTGGCCTGGCTTCCACCGCAGCAGCCTCGTCGTCGCTCGACTCCGAGCCCCCACCTGCATCCGCGCGCACCCCCCGCTCCGCTTGCTCCGCCTCGCCTGCTGAGCCCTTCCGCGCAACCAGCAGCCCAACCGTGTCACCCGCGCAAACGCTGTCCTCGCCATTTCGTGCGTCCCCCCACTCCTCAAAGCCCTCGCCCAATCTCATGGCCTTCTGTGCCTCTACCTCCCCCACTGCCACCTCGCCCTCGACCGCCTCCGCCTCCCCCCTTTCCGCCTCTCCCTCCTCCGCCTCCCCGCTCTCCGCCGCTCCGCGCTCCGAATCTCTCCTCTCCGCCTCCCCACGCGACTCCCGCATCGCCAGCTCCAGCTGCGCGCGCTCCAGCTCCAGCCTTCCCCGCGCCATCTCAGATTCCCCCACTTTCGTCTCCGCCTCCGCTTCTCCAGCTAGACTCACTCCCGCGCTGCCCTCCGCCCCCAACCTTTCCCACGCCGCCTCCGCGCCCTCCGCGTCCACCGCGCCTGCGCACATCACACCAGCAATAAGCGGCCCCCCTGCATTGACCACCGCACCGCCCACCGCCCGCGCAATCAGCTCCGCCTCGACCGCCTCACTCCACACGCCCCCCTGCCCCGCGAGTCCGTCCCCACGCGCTCCAAGCCCCTCTTGCTGCGCGCCACCGCCCGCGCAACTGGCTTCCCCCGCAACCCCCTGAGGACTCTCCCCGCACTCCTCGTCCCCACGCGCGGAGTGCAGCGGCCCCACTATCAGAACTTCCGCCCACACCGCCCGCGCGGACTCGGGGCTCGGCTGCGTACCGTCGCCGGCGGAGAGGTGCGCCACCCTCCGCAAGCCGCGCCGCTTCTTCCGCGAAACAACAGGCCGCGCCTCCCTCGCCCCATCTGTCCGGTTCGTTTCGCGCCGCTGGCCCGCAGTGGTGCTACTAACAGCCCTAGTAGAAGCCCCACCAATTACGCTGCTAGCAGCCCCGCTAGAAGCGCAACACTCTACGCGCGCAACACTCGGTGCAGCAGCAGCGCGCGTGTCTAAGAGTGCCTGTATCTCAACCGACCGGCCTATCTCCGCGCCTTGCCGCGATACGGCAGCGCGCGGCGGCAGCGGCGACGACGCGAGGACTGCCGCGGTGATGGATCGAGCCGCCATGGCAGCGTGCCGCGCGGCAGCCCGTCAACGGGGCGGACGGACGGCCGACGGGACGAGTGGACGGCCGCTCGCCTGCAGCAACGCGCGAGGGGACGCTCAGGGTGGATGCGGTGGAGGGAATGCGGAGGCAGCAAGGGCTGGTTGACAATGCGCTAGTGACACTGTCCTAGCTGCCTGAATGTCGATAAGGACTTGCTTTTTCTTCCGACCGGGTTTTGTGATGTGATGTTTCTGGTGTTGGTGGTGCTGTTGCTGATGCTGCTTGCTAGTGGTTGAGGGTTTTCCCACACAAAGTGGGTTGGCGCAGGCGAGGCGAAGCTGCAGTGCCGCTGCTGGCTGTCACGGCGAGGGGAATATTCGTGGCGACGCGCCCTCCACGTGGGCACATCGATGTTGGCTTATTGGCCGCTCAATTGGTGAAAGGGTTCCTCTTTGTGCAGTGTGACTCTGTACGCGATACTGGCTCGCAGATTGCGCTGTCACTGACAGCTTCATTCCGCGAACATGATTTGACTACGAATCAACATTCTCCTCTCTACATCAATCTCTTATCGAGGACAACGAGCTCTTTGTTTCCATTGGCTGGACGATTCCATGCTTCCCATAACATGAAGGCGCTATGGTCGTCAATCGGGAATGCCGAATCAGTAGGTCCCTGGTTCACCCTGTCTCACCGTGCTCCCAACCTCTGCAGCCCACTGCACCTCTTACAAATTGCCAACCAGAGCTGCCTCCATCCATTAGGGGGCGTCTCATGCTTGATGAACTTTCCGCTCTTTCAAAGCGGTTGACTACGATGTTGTGCATCACTGCCTCTGCTGCTCCATCACTGCCTCTGCTGCTCCATCACTGCCTCTGCTGCTCCATCACTGCCTCTGCTGCTCCATCACTGCCTCTGCTGCTCCATCACTGCCTCTGCTGCTCCATCACTGCCTCTGCTGCTCCATCACTGCCTCTGCTGCTCCATCACTGCCTCTGCTGCTCCATCACTGCCTCTGCTGCTCCATCACTGCCTCTGCTGCTCCATCACTGCCTCTGCTGCTCCATCACTGCCTCTGCTGCTCCATCACTGCCTCTGCTGCTCCATCACTGCCTCTGCTGCTCCATCACTGCCTCTGCTGCTCCATCACTGCCTCTGCTGCTCCATCACTGCCTCTGCTGCTCCATCACTGCCTCTGCTGCTCCATCACTGCCTCTGCTGCTCCATCACTGCCTCTGCTGCTCCATCACTGCCTCTGCTGCTCCATCACTGCCTCTGCTGCTCCATCACTGCCTCTGCTGCTCCATCACTGCCTCTGCTGCTCCATCACTGCCTCTGCTGCTCCATCACTGCCTCTGCTGCTCCATCACTGCCTCTGCTGCTCCATCACTGCCTCTGCTGCTCCATCACTGCCTCTGCTGCTCCATCACTGCCTCTGCTGCTCCATCACTGCCTCTGCTGCTCCATCACTGCCTCTGCTGCTCCATCACTGCCTCTGCTGCTCCATCACTGCCTCTGCTGCTCCATCACTGCCTCTGCTGCTCCATCACTGCCTCTGCTGCTCCATCACTGCCTCTGCTGCTCCATCACTGCCTCTGCTGCTCCATCACTGCCTCTGCTGCTCCATCACTGCCTCTGCTGCTCCATCACTGCCTCTGCTGCTCCATCACTGCCTCTGCTGCTCCATCACTGCCTCTGCTGCTCCATCACTGCCTCTGCTGCTCCATCACTGCCTCTGCTGCTCCATCACTGCCTCTGCTGCTCCATCACTGCCTCTGCTGCTCCATCACTGCCTCTGCTGCTCCATCACTGCCTCTGCTGCTCCATCACTGCCTCTGCTGCTCCATCACTGCCTCTGCTGCTCCATCACTGCCTCTGCTGCTCCATCACTGCCTCTGCTGCTCCATCACTGCCTCTGCTGCTCCATCACTGCCTCTGCTGCTCCATCACTGCCTCTGCTGCTCCATCACTGCCTCTGCTGCTCCATCACTGCCTCTGCTGCTCCATCACTGCCTCTGCTGCTCCATCACTGCCTCTGCTGCTCCATCACTGCCTCTGCTGCTCCATCACTGCCTCTGCTGCTCCATCACTGCCTCTGCTGCTCCATCACTGCCTCTGCTGCTCCATCACTGCCTCTGCTGCTCCATCACTGCCTCTGCTGCTCCATCACTGCCTCTGCTGCTCCATCACTGCCTCTGCTGCTCCATCACTGCCTCTGCTGCTCCATCACTGCCTCTGCTGCTCCATCACTGCCTCTGCTGCTCCATCACTGCCTCTGCTGCTCCATCACTGCCTCTGCTGCTCCATCACTGCCTCTGCTGCTCCATCACTGCCTCTGCTGCTCCATCACTGCCTCTGCTGCTCCATCACTGCCTCTGCTGCTCCATCACTGCCTCTGCTGCTCCATCACTGCCTCTGCTGCTCCATCACTGCCTCTGCTGCTCCATCACTGCCTCTGCTGCTCCATCACTGCCTCTGCTGCTCCATCACTGCCTCTGCTGCTCCATCACTGCCTCTGCTGCTCCATCACTGCCTCTGCTGCTCCATCACTGCCTCTGCTGCTCCATCACTGCCTCTGCTGCTCCATCACTGCCTCTGCTGCTCCATCACTGCCTCTGCTGCTCCATCACTGCCTCTGCTGCTCCATCACTGCCTCTGCTGCTCCATCACTGCCTCTGCTGCTCCATCACTGCCTCTGCTGCTCCATCACTGCCTCTGCTGCTCCATCACTGCCTCTGCTGCTCCATCACTGCCTCTGCTGCTCCATCACTGCCTCTGCTGCTCCATCACTGCCTCTGCTGCTCCATCACTGCCTCTGCTGCTCCATCACTGCCTCTGCTGCTCCATCACTGCCTCTGCTGCTCCATCACTGCCTCTGCTGCTCCATCACTGCCTCTGCTGCTCCATCACTGCCTCTGCTGCTCCATCACTGCCTCTGCTGCTCCATCACTGCCTCTGCTGCTCCATCACTGCCTCTGCTGCTCCATCACTGCCTCTGCTGCTCCATCACTGCCTCTGCTGCTCCATCACTGCCTCTGCTGCTCCATCACTGCCTCTGCTGCTCCATCACTGCCTCTGCTGCTCCATCACTGCCTCTGCTGCTCCATCACTGCCTCTGCTGCTCCATCACTGCCTCTGCTGCTCCATCACTGCCTCTGCTGCTCCATCACTGCCTCTGCTGCTCCATCACTGCCTCTGCTGCTCCATCACTGCCTCTGCTGCTCCATCACTGCCTCTGCTGCTCCATCACTGCCTCTGCTGCTCCATCACTGCCTCTGCTGCTCCATCACTGCCTCTGCTGCTCCATCACTGCCTCTGCTGCTCCATCACTGCCTCTGCTGCTCCATCACTGCCTCTGCTGCTCCATCACTGCCTCTGCTGCTCCATCACTGCCTCTGCTGCTCCATCACTGCCTCTGCTGCTCCATCACTGCCTCTGCTGCTCCATCACTGCCTCTGCTGCTCCATCACTGCCTCTGCTGCTCCATCACTGCCTCTGCTGCTCCATCACTGCCTCTGCTGCTCCATCACTGCCTCTGCTGCTCCATCACTGCCTCTGCTGCTCCATCACTGCCTCTGCTGCTCCATCACTGCCTCTGCTGCTCCATCACTGCCTCTGCTGCTCCATCACTGCCTCTGCTGCTCCATCACTGCCTCTGCTGCTCCATCACTGCCTCTGCTGCTCCATCACTGCCTCTGCTGCTCCATCACTGCCTCTGCTGCTCCATCACTGCCTCTGCTGCTCCATCACTGCCTCTGCTGCTCCATCACTGCCTCTGCTGCTCCATCACTGCCTCTGCTGCTCCATCACTGCCTCTGCTGCTCCATCACTGCCTCTGCTGCTCCATCACTGCCTCTGCTGCTCCATCACTGCCTCTGCTGCTCCATCACTGCCTCTGCTGCTCCATCACTGCCTCTGCTGCTCCATCACTGCCTCTGCTGCTCCATCACTGCCTCTGCTGCTCCATCACTGCCTCTGCTGCTCCATCACTGCCTCTGCTGCTCCATCACTGCCTCTGCTGCTCCATCACTGCCTCTGCTGCTCCATCACTGCCTCTGCTGCTCCATCACTGCCTCTGCTGCTCCATCACTGCCTCTGCTGCTCCATCACTGCCTCTGCTGCTCCATCACTGCCTCTGCTGCTCCATCACTGCCTCTGCTGCTCCATCACTGCCTCTGCTGCTCCATCACTGCCTCTGCTGCTCCATCACTGCCTCTGCTGCTCCATCACTGCCTCTGCTGCTCCATCACTGCCTCTGCTGCTCCATCACTGCCTCTGCTGCTCCATCACTGCCTCTGCTGCTCCATCACTGCCTCTGCTGCTCCATCACTGCCTCTGCTGCTCCATCACTGCCTCTGCTGCTCCATCACTGCCTCTGCTGCTCCATCACTGCCTCTGCTGCTCCATCACTGCCTCTGCTGCTCCATCACTGCCTCTGCTGCTCCATCACTGCCTCTGCTGCTCCATCACTGCCTCTGCTGCTCCATCACTGCCTCTGCTGCTCCATCACTGCCTCTGCTGCTCCATCACTGCCTCTGCTGCTCCATCACTGCCTCTGCTGCTCCATCACTGCCTCTGCTGCTCCATCACTGCCTCTGCTGCTCCATCACTGCCTCTGCTGCTCCATCACTGCCTCTGCTGCTCCATCACTGCCTCTGCTGCTCCATCACTGCCTCTGCTGCTCCATCACTGCCTCTGCTGCTCCATCACTGCCTCTGCTGCTCCATCACTGCCTCTGCTGCTCCATCACTGCCTCTGCTGCTCCATCACTGCCTCTGCTGCTCCATCACTGCCTCTGCTGCTCCATCACTGCCTCTGCTGCTCCATCACTGCCTCTGCTGCTCCATCACTGCCTCTGCTGCTCCATCACTGCCTCTGCTGCTCCATCACTGCCTCTGCTGCTCCATCACTGCCTCTGCTGCTCCATCACTGCCTCTGCTGCTCCATCACTGCCTCTGCTGCTCCATCACTGCCTCTGCTGCTCCATCACTGCCTCTGCTGCTCCATCACTGCCTCTGCTGCTCCATCACTGCCTCTGCTGCTCCATCACTGCCTCTGCTGCTCCATCACTGCCTCTGCTGCTCCATCACTGCCTCTGCTGCTCCATCACTGCCTCTGCTGCTCCATCACTGCCTCTGCTGCTCCATCACTGCCTCTGCTGCTCCATCACTGCCTCTGCTGCTCCATCACTGCCTCTGCTGCTCCATCACTGCCTCTGCTGCTCCATCACTGCCTCTGCTGCTCCATCACTGCCTCTGCTGCTCCATCACTGCCTCTGCTGCTCCATCACTGCCTCTGCTGCTCCATCACTGCCTCTGCTGCTCCATCACTGCCTCTGCTGCTCCATCACTGCCTCTGCTGCTCCATCACATCACACTGCCTCTGCTGCTCCATCACTGCCTCTCTTGCTCCATCACTGCCTCTGCTGCTCCATCACTGCCTCTGCTGCTCCATCACTGCCTCTGCTGCTCCATCACTGCCTCTGCTGCTCCATCACTGCCTCTGCTGCTCCATCACTGCCTCTGCTGCTCCATCACTGCCTCTGCTGCTCCATCACTGCCTCTGCTGCTCCATCACTGCCTCTGCTGCTCCATCACTGCCTCTGCTGCTCCATCACTGCCTCTGCTGCTCCATCACTGCCTCTGCTGCTCCATCACTGCCTCTGCTGCTCCATCACTGCCTCTGCTGCTCCATCACTGCCTCTGCTGCTCCATCACTGCCTCTGCTGCTCCATCACTGCCTCTGCTGCTCCATCACTGCCTCTGCTGCTCCATCACTGCCTCTGCTGCTCCATCACTGCCTCTGCTGCTCCATCACTGCCTCTGCTGCTCCATCACTGCCTCTGCTGCTCCATCACTGCCTCTGCTGCTCCATCACTGCCTCTGCTGCTCCATCACTGCCTCTGCTGCTCCATCACTGCCTCTGCTGCTCCATCACTGCCTCTGCTGCTCCATCACTGCCTCTGCTGCTCCATCACTGCCTCTGCTGCTCCATCACTGCCTCTGCTGCTCCATCACTGCCTCTGCTGCTCCATCACTGCCTCTGCTGCTCCATCACTGCCTCTGCTGCTCCATCACTGCCTCTGCTGCTCCATCACTGCCTCTGCTGCTCCATCACTGCCTCTGCTGCTCCATCACTGCCTCTGCTGCTCCATCACTGCCTCTGCTGCTCCATCACTGCCTCTGCTGCTCCATCACTGCCTCTGCTGCTCCATCACTGCCTCTGCTGCTCCATCACTGCCTCTGCTGCTCCATCACTGCCTCTGCTGCTCCATCACTGCCTCTGCTGCTCCATCACTGCCTCTGCTGCTCCATCACTGCCTCTGCTGCTCCATCACTGCCTCTGCTGCTCCATCACTGCCTCTGCTGCTCCATCACTGCCTCTGCTGCTCCATCACTGCCTCTGCTGCTCCATCACTGCCTCTGCTGCTCCATCACTGCCTCTGCTGCTCCATCACTGCCTCTGCTGCTCCATCACTGCCTCTGCTGCTCCATCACTGCCTCTGCTGCTCCATCACTGCCTCTGCTGCTCCATCACTGCCTCTGCTGCTCCATCACTGCCTCTGCTGCTCCATCACTGCCTCTGCTGCTCCATCACTGCCTCTGCTGCTCCATCACTGCCTCTGCTGCTCCATCACTGCCTCTGCTGCTCCATCACTGCCTCTGCTGCTCCATCACTGCCTCTGCTGCTCCATCACTGCCTCTGCTGCTCCATCACTGCCTCTGCTGCTCCATCACTGCCTCTGCTGCTCCATCACTGCCTCTGCTGCTCCATCACTGCCTCTGCTGCTCCATCACTGCCTCTGCTGCTCCATCACTGCCTCTGCTGCTCCATCACTGCCTCTGCTGCTCCATCACTGCCTCTGCTGCTCCATCACTGCCTCTGCTGCTCCATCACTGCCTCTGCTGCTCCATCACTGCCTCTGCTGCTCCATCACTGCCTCTGCTGCTCCATCACTGCCTCTGCTGCTCCATCACTGCCTCTGCTGCTCCATCACTGCCTCTGCTGCTCCATCACTGCCTCTGCTGCTCCATCACTGCCTCTGCTGCTCCATCACTGCCTCTGCTGCTCCATCACTGCCTCTGCTGCTCCATCACTGCCTCTGCTGCTCCATCACTGCCTCTGCTGCTCCATCACTGCCTCTGCTGCTCCATCACTGCCTCTGCTGCTCCATCACTGCCTCTGCTGCTCCATCACTGCCTCTGCTGCTCCATCACTGCCTCTGCTGCTCCATCACTGCCTCTGCTGCTCCATCACTGCCTCTGCTGCTCCATCACTGCCTCTGCTGCTCCATCACTGCCTCTGCTGCTCCATCACTGCCTCTGCTGCTCCATCACTGCCTCTGCTGCTCCATCACTGCCTCTGCTGCTCCATCACTGCCTCTGCTGCTCCATCACTGCCTCTGCTGCTCCATCACTGCCTCTGCTGCTCCATCACTGCCTCTGCTGCTCCATCACTGCCTCTGCTGCTCCATCACTGCCTCTGCTGCTCCATCACTGCCTCTGCTGCTCCATCACTGCCTCTGCTGCTCCATCACTGCCTCTGCTGCTCCATCACTGCCTCTGCTGCTCCATCACTGCCTCTGCTGCTCCATCACTGCCTCTGCTGCTCCATCACTGCCTCTGCTGCTCCATCACTGCCTCTGCTGCTCCATCACTGCCTCTGCTGCTCCATCACTGCCTCTGCTGCTCCATCACTGCCTCTGCTGCTCCATCACTGCCTCTGCTGCTCCATCACTGCCTCTGCTGCTCCATCACTGCCTCTGCTGCTCCATCACTGCCTCTGCTGCTCCATCACTGCCTCTGCTGCTCCATCACTGCCTCTGCTGCTCCATCACTGCCTCTGCTGCTCCATCACTGCCTCTGCTGCTCCATCACTGCCTCTGCTGCTCCATCACTGCCTCTGCTGCTCCATCACTGCCTCTGCTGCTCCATCACTGCCTCTGCTGCTCCATCACTGCCTCTGCTGCTCCATCACTGCCTCTGCTGCTCCATCACTGCCTCTGCTGCTCCATCACTGCCTCTGCTGCTCCATCACTGCCTCTGCTGCTCCATCACTGCCTCTGCTGCTCCATCACTGCCTCTGCTGCTCCATCACTGCCTCTGCTGCTCCATCACTGCCTCTGCTGCTCATCACTGCCATCACTGCCTCTGCTGCTCCATCACTGCCTCTGCTGCTCCATCACTGCCTCTGCTGCTCCATCACTGCCTCTGCTGCTCCATCACTGCCTCTGCTGCTCCATCACTGCCTCTGCTGCTCCATCACTGCCTCTGCTGCTCCATCACTGCCTCTGCTGCTCCATCACTGCCTCTGCTGCTCCATCACTGCCTCTGCTGCTCCATCACTGCCTCTGCTGCTCCATCACTGCCTCTGCTGCTCCATCACTGCCTCTGCTGCTCCATCACTGCCTCTGCTGCTCCATCACTGCCTCTGCTGCTCCATCACTGCCTCTGCTGCTCCATCACTGCCTCTGCTGCTCCATCACTGCCTCTGCTGCTCCATCACTGCCTCTGCTGCTCCATCACTGCCTCTGCTGCTCCATCACTGCCTCTGCTGCTCCATCACTGCCTCTGCTGCTCCATCACTGCCTCTGCTGCTCCATCACTGCCTCTGCTGCTCCATCACTGCCTCTGCTGCTCCATCACTGCCTCTGCTGCTCCATCACTGCCTCTGCTGCTCCATCACTGCCTCTGCTGCTCCATCACTGCCTCTGCTGCTCCATCACTGCCTCTGCTGCTCCATCACTGCCTCTGCTGCTCCATCACTGCCTCTGCTGCTCCATCACTGCCTCTGCTGCTCCATCACTGCCTCTGCTGCTCCATCACTGCCTCTGCTGCTCCATCACTGCCTCTGCTGCTCCATCACTGCCTCTGCTGCTCCATCACTGCCTCTGCTGCTCCATCACTGCCTCTGCTGCTCCATCACTGCCTCTGCTGCTCCATCACTGCCTCTGCTGCTCCATCACTGCCTCTGCTGCTCCATCACTGCCTCTGCTGCTCCATCACTGCCTCTGCTGCTCCATCACTGCCTCTGCTGCTCCATCACTGCCTCTGCTGCTCCATCACTGCCTCTGCTGCTCCATCACTGCCTCTGCTGCTCCATCACTGCCTCTGCTGCTCCATCACTGCCTCTGCTGCTCCATCACTGCCTCTGCTGCTCCATCACTGCCTCTGCTGCTCCATCACTGCCTCTGCTGCTCCATCACTGCCTCTGCTGCTCCATCACTGCCTCTGCTGCTCCATCACTGCCTCTGCTGCTCCATCACTGCCTCTGCTGCTCCATCACTGCCTCTGCTGCTCCATCACTGCCTCTGCTGCTCCATCACTGCCTCTGCTGCTCCATCACTGCCTCTGCTGCTCCATCACTGCCTCTGCTGCTCCATCACTGCCTCTGCTGCTCCATCACTGCCTCTGCTGCTCCATCACTGCCTCTGCTGCTCCATCACTGCCTCTGCTGCTCCATCACTGCCTCTGCTGCTCCATCACTGCCTCTGCTGCTCCATCACTGCCTCTGCTGCTCCATCACTGCCTCTGCTGCTCCATCACTGCCTCTGCTGCTCCATCACTGCCTCTGCTGCTCCATCACTGCCTCTGCTGCTCCATCACTGCCTCTGCTGCTCCATCACTGCCTCTGCTGCTCCATCACTGCCTCTGCTGCTCCATCACTGCCTCTGCTGCTCCATCACTGCCTCTGCTGCTCCATCACTGCCTCTGCTGCTCCATCACTGCCTCTGCTGCTCCATCACTGCCTCTGCTGCTCCATCACTGCCTCTGCTGCTCCATCACTGCCTCTGCTGCTCCATCACTGCCTCTGCTGCTCCATCACTGCCTCTGCTGCTCCATCCCCTCGCAGGACCAGAGTCGACAGCTACCTCGACAGGCTCGACCGGGTCTACCTGGGACACACCTGAGGGAGCAGCACCCTGGGGAGGGAGGGGGTCTACCGACGGGACACCTGGGGTGAGGAAGAGCGGCGGAGGAGGGAGCGGGGCAGTGCGGTAGGGGAAGAGACGGTAAAAGGGTACCGACTCGTCAAAAGTGACGTCCTGAGAGGGGAAGACACGGCGCGTGGTGGGGTGGTAAAACTGCTAGCCAGGCACGTCAGGGACAAAGCCAAGGAAGACACAGGGAACGGCACAGGAGGAGAGCTTGTCCGCGGACGTATCGCGGACAAAGGCTCGACATCCCCAAACTCGGAACACCGACGCATCGCCAACCTCCCCCGTCCAACGCAGTGTGGGCGAGGTCTCCGGAGCAGAGACACGGGGCCAGAGGTTGAGCTGATGCGCGGCGTACTGCACTGCAAACGGCCACAGGAAATGGGGGGCAGCCGCATGGATCATGGAAGTACGAGCGACCTTCATGACTAGCGGGGCAGCTCAAAGGCATCAAGGAACTGCTCGCGCCAGGCGTCGTCGAGACGGAAGAAGCAGCGGTGCGCTTTGTGGAACCTCCCACAGGTCTGGCCAGTGCGGTCACCTGTGCGGATGACGTACGGGCAGGTACCTCCACCCCCAGACCCCCCACGCTGAGAGTACCACTCACGGAGCTGCTGGGGCGACTGGGTCTCGCCGGGACGCTGCTGCTGCTGCCTCTGGCCACCGCCGAACCCGCCACGCTGCACCGCTCCACCGCGCCCGCCACCAGCTCCACTGCCGCCACCACCACCCCCGCCACCCCCACCACCGCCGCCGCCACCACCCCCGGCTCCGCCACTGACCCCGCCACCACCAGCACCACTCCCACTACCGCCACCACCACCTCCGCCCCCTCCACCCCCTCCACCACTGCCGCCCCCGCCGCCACCTCCGCCACCCCTGCCTCCCTTGCCCCTGCCGCCCTTGCGTCTCCCACTGGGAGCAGACGCAGCCCCGACCCCCTCAGCACCGAGGTAGTCGACAGCAGCAGCAGATGCAATGGAGGGGAGAAGGGGGGAGGGGGAGCATCCCTCAAAGAAGGGAGTGCGAGGGTCGCCACGAGTGGCACCTACAGCTACAATGCTCTTCTTAGCTGCTAGGAGTTCCTTCTCGAGCAGGTCGACAGTGAGGTCGGTGGGGGAGAGGGCGAGGAAGTGATCCCTGACAGCGCGAAGAGAGTCAGGGAGGCGAGTGACTAGGTGGTAGAGTGTGAGGTACATCGGGGGAGGGTTCTTGGCTAGGAAATCGGGGGGAAGCGCGGCACGGTAGCGGAAATCACTAGTACGGAGGTGAGTGATGAGGTCAGCTACTGTGGCGAAGGCAGAGAGATCGGGGAAGAGATAGGGCAGTGAGAGACGGCCTATCGCAGCAGTAGCAGGGGAGGAGTAGCGTGCAACTACAGCATAGCTCCTTAGCGGTCTTATGCTGGCCAAAATGCTCGCGCTCATCTAACGGCAGGTGGCTGCGAACGGCTAGGCGAGCATGAGCGTCACGGGTCTGCCACTGTGAGCGAGCAGTACTGTCAGCAGTGGCAGCAGGTGCGGGAGCGGCGCCGGACGTGTGGTCATACAGGGAAACATCGTCCTTGGCAGTCACCTGGAGGAACAGGTGCAGGACATCGAGCCAAACCTCAAACTTAATCGGACGGCCCTCAGCGTCAAAAGTGAGAACGGTAGGACTGGCCATAGTGGCAGTAGCAGCAGTAGGAACAGTAGCAGTAGTAGTAATAGCAGTAGCAGTAGTAGCAGTAGTAGTAGTAGCAGTAGCAGCTGTAGCAGTAAGAACAGCTGTATCAACAGGAACAGGAACAGCAGTTGCTGCAGGTGGGGCGCCTCGGCTCGGTCAGGGCGGCGCGACTCGGGCGGCGCGACTCGGGCGGCGCGACTCGGGCGGCGCGACTCGGGCGGCGCGACTCGGGCGGCGCGGCTCGGGCAGGTAGGGCGGCGCGACGGCGGGCCTATGCACGGTGCGCGGCGGCGCCTAGGGTGCGGCTGCGCGCGGGCCGCGGCTGCGTTCGTGCGGTGGCTAAGCGCGAGCTGCAGCAGTCGACGCGCGATCGCCGCTGCGCGCGGGCTGCGACCTGCGGGCGGGCGGCTGTGGGTCGAGCGTCGGCCTAGGGGCGAGCGGAGCCTACGGGCGACGGCCTACTGGCGCGCGCGCGAAAAATTCGGGCCGCCCTAGGCGGCTGACGGGCTACTCGCGCTAAAAACGCGGGGCCGCGCTCGGGCTGCTAGCGGGCTGCAAACGAGCAGCGTGAGAGGAGAGCGCGCGAGGGCGCACTAGGAGAGAGGCGCACGAGGGCGCTAAAAAAAAAGGGGCGCACGAGGGCACCTCTAGCGGAACGGTGGGCCCTTAGGTAAGTGGTCCTAGGTCTAGAACCTAAACTCTTAATACCATGTCAGAAACAAGAAGTGATTGAACTAGGAAAATTGTGAGTACAAGTAGGAAACCCTAGAGTATTGTACCCCCTAAAGCCTAACCCACTGTAGCCTACACAGCAGTAACATATATAATGTTTGACAACTGGAGGTACTGGAGGTGCTGGCCCTGTAGGTGCTAGTGCTGTTGTTCCTAGATAGGGGGTACTGGTGGTGCTGACACTGGAGGTGCTACTGGAGGTACTGGAGTTGGTGGTGCTAGTCGGCAGGAGTCGCTCTCGCCGCAGCAGCTTCGCGAGTGGGCTGTCCGCTGGGGCAATCCCGGTGGTGGAGCTGGTGGTGCTGGTTCTGGGGGTGTTGTTCCTAGTGGGGCTCCAGGTTCTGGGGATGTGACTACTCAGTCGCAGCCATCTGCACTTCGTCACCTTCTCAGTCTCCCACCTGCTGCTACTGAGTTCCCGGTTGCTAGTACTACTCCTCCGTTACTGTTCCCACCGACTGACCAGTCTCAGCCACTGCTACTACCTGGCTCCCCGCTACCTGCTCCTACTCCTCAGACTGCAATGACTGAGTCCCTAACTGAGCGTCGTGAGCCTGAGACCCGTGCTTCTACACCTGTTCGTGCTCGTCGTGTTGCCCGTCCTCGTGCTCCAGCTGTGCCAGGCACTCACCGTATGGCACTTCGTCCTTCCTCTGTTCCACAGCGCGTTGTCCTGCCGTCGCCTTCTGCATCCTCTCTTCCTCACGTTCCTGACCCTGAGTCTGACCTTGTCCGTACTGCCAGTCTGAATGTCACTCGTCTCCTTGCAACGGATGTGACTGACCCTTTCTTTGAGTCTGCTGTTGCGTCCGCCTCAGTTGCCGAGCTTGTTGACTACGCTGCGAGTCTTGTTTTTTACTCTTCCTCTCCTCCGTCCGTCGGGGGTGAGCCTGCCCTTGGCTGTGACGTTCTTAAGGACACGCAGTTTGAGCTGGAGTGCCTAGCGGCCGCTGCACCTCATCTCGCATCCACGCTAATTTGCCCTGAGGGAGACCCGGATGCACTAGATATCCCGACCCCGTGCTCTTACACAGAGGCAATCACGGGTCCGTACTCCTCTCAGTGGCGGATAGCCATGGACGCAGAGATGGCTTCCTGGAAGTCCACAGGCACCTACGTCGACGAGGTTCCCCCACCTAGGGCGAACATAGTCGATGGCATGTGGATTTGCAGGGTGAAGCGGCCGCCGGGTTCTCCGCCTGCCTTAAAGGCGCATTATGTTGCACGAGGCTTCAGCTAGCGTGAGGGGGTCGACTTCTTCCAGACCTTCTCCCCCACCCCGAAGATGACCACTCTTCGGGTGCTACTGCACGTTGCAGCACAGCGCGACTACGAGCTGCACTCCCTCGACTTCTTGACAGCCTTCCTGCAGAGCAGCCTTCACGAGACTATCTGGTTGCGCCGCCCATGTGGCATCACTGGGTCATTTCCTGAGGGTACCCTGTGGAGTCTTCGCCGACCAGTCTACGGCCTACGACACGCGCTCCGCAAGTGGCACGACACACTGAGGACTACTCTTGCGGCTCTTGGCTTCGCTCCCTCGACTGCTGACCCTTCGCTGTTTCTACGCACAGACACTTCTCTGCCGCCGTTCTACGTTTTTGTGTACGTTGACGACTTGATTTTTGCTACTGCTCACACTGAGGCTCTGGCCTTAGTGAAGGCGGAGCTGCAGGAGAGACATATCTGCCCAGACCTGGGTGAGCTGCGGAGCTATCTTGACTTGCAGATCACCCGGGACAGAGCACGCCGCACCATCACCCTCACTCAGTCACACATGGTGCAGCAGGTCCTTCAGCGCTTCGACTTCTCGTGGCCCTCGCCACAGTCCACTCCTCTGTCTACGGGCCACTCGCTCTCAACTCCACCTTCGAACGAGTCCGTAGAGCCGAGCGGTCCATACCCAGAGCTTGTGGGTTGCCTCATGTACCTGATGACGTGCACACGACCTGACCTTGCGTACTCTCTCAGCCTCCTGGCTCGCTACGTGGCTCCTGGTAGACACCGAATGGTGCACTGGGATGCTGCGAAGAGGGTACTGCGTTACTTGTGCAGTACATTGGGCATGGGGCTTGTGCTTGGAGGACAGGGTTCAGTTGTTCTCACCAGCCACTCCGACACTTCTTGGGCTGACGACCAGACGACTTATGGGTCTACACAGGGGTACAGCTTCATCCTAGGTGCCGGTTCTATCTCGTGGAGGTCCACTCGCTTGTCTTCTGTACTTAGTTCCAGCTGTGAGGCCGAGATCTACGCTGGGGCTATGGCTGCACAGGAGCTCCGTTAGCTGACCTACCTGCTGACCGACTTGGGTGAGCGGCCTCGTTCTCCTCCAGTTCTGTACGTCGACAACAAGGCCATGATTGCCTTGTGTTAGGACCAGAGACTGGAGCACAGAACGAAGCACATGGCTCTTCGTTAGTTCCTCACGCGAGAGCTGCAGCAGCGTGGTCAGCTTCGTCTTGCTAATGTGGCCACACAGGCCAACACTGCTGATGTCTTCACCAAGGCCCTAGGGTCTAGTGGTCATCAGCGTTTCTGCATTGCTCTTGGGCTTGTGCCCACTTTGCCTCACTTGCTTGTCCCTTGATCTTGCCTGGCACTTGTTGTACTCTGATATTGTCAAACA